TAGGCTATTATGTGAGCAATTACAATCTATTCTACAAATACTTCCTTTGTGTCTTTTTCCATATGAAGATATATTGTAATCTTTCATAGAACCTCAATGAATTATACCTGCAAATACACAGCAAATTCCCTGTGAGTAAATCACCAGTGCTAACAAGGACATTCTCCACTGAAGAATTTTATTGAATGCTGAAATTTTATTGCTGTTGATTTTTTGTTGTACTTAAATATCTGCAGTCCACATTGATCCATGTTCCAAAAGAGTCACTGCCTGTCTCCATGATTAGACTGTTAATTACCTAGATAATTTCAGTGCCAGACTCTTGCATATGGTAAGAATTTGAAGTATAGGTTATTCAAAGCATCTGCGTAATATTGATAAAAGTCCTAAAAAAGCTGAGAAAATCCTCACTGTAGGGATCCATTGTTTTTAAGCTGATGGCACTCCATGTGTGAGATCTTGCTAATCTTACATCATGTTCTGAAGAGCAACACACCTTCTTTTAATTTTACAATCAAAAGGATGTCCCCCGAATATGAGGCACATACTATATTATAGTTCAGATTTTATTTATATATATATATATATATATATATATATATAAATCTGTAAATGTTGTTTTACAGCTACAAAAAAATTAAAAAGGCTTTATTAACCTGAAAACCAGTACAAAAATCATACAAAACAAAAACAAAACAAAAAAAACCCCAACAACCCTAAAAAAAATCCACTTCTGTGGCCTAAAATTGTTGCTAACTGTCATTTGTATCTATGCTAATGTGCCCATCTAAGGCCATTGCTCATTGTAGAAGCATCTTTAGTAAGGCAAACAGGTTGTGCTGCAATGTAAACTGTATGCTACTGCTATGTTGAATACAGTCGGGCAGTGATACATTCAGTCACTTTCCTACTGCACATGTTTTAACATGGCATAGCAGCCCTTTAAAAAAATAAAAGCCCTTATGAATTAAAAGTTGGAGATATGTAAATACCAGAGTGCGTTTATAGCTCTAAAAGAAAACAAGTCTATGAGTCCAGGTTTTCAGAAGTCGGCATAGCAAGTATTGGCAAGATACACATTCTCTAGAAGCCTTATGGTGATGGTCCAATGCGCTACGTCTGTAAACCACTGCATCTGTGAGCTGTCAGGCTTAGGAATATTAACCTCTGTGGGGCATTTGAGGTCAGAAGGAAGGGGTCAGCAGCTGGATACACAGCAGAGAGGCGACCTCCTTGACAGGAAGGGGAATGGGCACAAGCTCGCTGCTGTAGAAGTTGGAACACGACTAGCAGTTGAGGAGCGAGAACGGACAGGGAGCGTTTGCACACTGTTCCATCAGTCCAACTGGTAGGTGATTCGATGTTCATGTCATCACAGAGCTACGCAGCCAGGAGAGTTTAGAACGTACCATCTGAGGGGAAATACCAATCATGTTACCTGCACAGGGAGACTCACAAATAGTCACTGAAGCCAAATGATATGACACTTGGTTATGGAAGGTACAATAGACAATAAAACATTAACAACATAGTCTCTCATCCAGTGAAAACGCCACCCTTCCATCTATACAGACACCCCAAATGAACTGAGTAGCAGTTCTTTATGTGAAGGGCTCAGCCCAAAAGCATCCTATTCTCAGTGGTTCCTTTAAAGCAGCTGTTCTCAGCCTTTCCGGACTACTGTACCCCTTTCCAGGAGTCTGATGCCTGAGCCCTGTCACCCAGGGCTCAAGTCTGAGCTCTACCAAAGCATGTAACATAGCTTTGTCGGGGGTCCCTAAGGTGTTGGGGCCAAGGCAATTGCCCTGCTTAGCGCTCCCTAAAAGAGGGGTGGCATAATTTTAGAAGGGAGGCCACTTTACAAATCTTTTAAGTGGCCCCGAAGAGGCAGGGCTCAGGCAGAAGGGGTGGGGCCAGTATATTTTCGTGCTCCCCCGCCCCCAGACGCTGATTGGCCTGGGGGTGGGGAAGCAAGGGAACTGCCAGATGTTCTGAACAGCTGGTGGTTCCCCCTAGGTGGCAGGAGGAGACTTTGCACACTTCCCCTGCCCCAGGCCAACCAGGGCCTGGGGGTGGGGTGAGCATGCAGAATCTCTCGCTCCCTGCCCCCACCCTGCAAGAAGCATGTGGCTCTTAGAGTGAACCGCCAGCTAACAAGAGCAGGAGGAGAATTTGCACACTCCCCCATCCCCAGACCCTGATTGGCCTGGGAGTGGGGAAGTGGCCAGGCCAAATCATCCTGCTTGGCGGCCCACATCTGGCCCACGGAGACTCTCTTGCCGACTCCTTCCTTCCCTAAAGCCAGCCCTGCACTTTAGACACCCTCCCCAATTCATCTCCCTCAGGTTGAGAAACACTGATATAGCTGAGCTGATGTACCCCCGGAAGACCTCTGTCTACCCCCAGGGGTATACACAGTCCTGGTTGACCACCCCTGCTTTAGAGGTTTCACTGTATATAGAGCATATGCTTTTGAGGAAACTGATATTTTGTCAGTCTTAAAAAATGTATACACAAAAGTGCATGTGTCCCAGGTAGTGTTGTACGTGTGTCATGGGAGTGCACGTCTGAAAGCAAGGTTCAAGGTGTGTGATTACCTGTACACAACTCAGGCACATACCTGGCTAAGTGCACCCTTTCAAAATGATGTACCTAAAGGATTGAGACAAGGTGTGTCTTCTTGCTGTTCACGTGTATAATTCCAGAACATTAAAAACAAAAACATCCCCATCCCCCCACATTTATTACTTGTTTGGCTTCCACTGAGTGCAAGCATCCTATCTAGAGAGAGAGAGCACTGAAATTAACATTGTTACAAACAAAACACTGTGCAATTTGACTGGCCGCTTTATAAAGCTATACAACTGAATGGGTTCCACTGTGACACAAGATGCTACACACATCTCGAACCACTGCAGAAAAAAGTGCAGTAACATAAGATGATGTGGTTAAAATTCCATATCTAAGATATTGTTCTCTTAGTAAAAAAAAGATAAGAAAAAAGGTTGTTTCTGCAGAGACCTGTTAGCAAGTGAACAGCTTATTTTACCAACTAAGATAACATGTACAACATTGTATAAACTTAATGTTCACCACTGTATCTTTACTAAAAATGGGGGCAGGAAAAGGGGAAGCTTTCAGTGCTGCTACCTGACTTTTCAATATCTTGAGAGCTTATTTTTGTCAAATAGTCATACTGCACTTGATAGCAAACCATTTCACAGTGAGAGGTGCCAAACGAAAGCCCTGGAAATCTGCAGGACAGAGTTTCATTCCTCTCTGAATGAATGGGTTTTATTGCTGTGATTAGGGAAATCACAGGCTAAAACCAACCCTAAGTGACCAGAAGGCAATTTCTCATCACACCTATTGCATACACCCTAACACGGATGACCATTGGCAACAAGCCTTTATAGTGCTGACTCTGTGGAGACCCTCAAGCACCATAAGATCAAGCTATGCAGCAGTTTAGACAGAGTGACCGCTGTACCAGCTGCTTTATGCTGGCTGCACGGGGTAGGTTGCTCACAGTCGTTATGTTTGCCATGGCACATTTAAAACAAACATGGCATTTTAAATTTAACCATTAAAAGAAAGAAATGATCACATCCCTGAAGTAAAAGTACTGGAGGAAAGGCTGGCAGGATTTAGTAGAAGGAGTCATAAAAGGTCAGGGGTGTGAAATCGTGGATAGGCTTTCAGAAGAGTTCTTCAAAAACAGGAGGATGACTCAGTTGGATTCTCCTACAATGATGAAGTACCTTCAATCTTTAGTAGCACTAAAGGTGAAATCCGGGCCCCTGTTAAAGTTAATGAGAGCTTTGCCACTGGGTCCAAATTTCGCCCCAAGTTACCTGCCAAACATGCCTGCCAAACACAAAGTCTCTAATAAATGTTCTCTCATCACACCGGACCAGGACATCTAAGACAATTTGAGTCTGTTGGGATGTTTGTTTTGTTTTCTTGTTAAGTCTCCATTCTGATCTCACTCAGACCAGTTTTCTACTGACTGCAAGGGTTGTACTCAGCCTGACATTGGTATGTAAGCGAGATCAGAACAGTTACCATTAAAGCTCATGTTACCTGCCAAACACTTCTAAAAGCCTTACTTTCGTAAGCTCAATGGAAAGCTGGACTACTTTTCCACTGGGTCTAAAAGAGAAGTTTGAAAGGAAGAGCACTAAAGCAGTGGAGTCTAATAGCAACATATTTGGGGAACAGCAGAATCTGCTCTCATGCTAATGCTAAGCCCCGCTCTAACATTGATTTTAAGTGCCCAAATGTCAAAACAGGGGTCGGATCCTTAGCGGTGTAAACAGGCATAACACCATTGATGTCAAAGGTAACTTATCTGAGCTGATGCTCTGGCCCCAGGGGGTTTGTTGTTTATTATGAGTTCCCTATCCTCTGCTTTTGTTGAATTAAGGAAACTGAAAATAAAAGTCCTTTGCTGTGATGATGATCAAATCTTAAGCACTCTGCTTGTGATTTCCCTTCCATGGCTTTGTTGACTGCAAGACTAAAAAGACTTACGGCAAGGCAATATGGGCTGGTTCTGTGGATATGACTGTGGAGGTTTTGCCTAAGTAAGGACTGTAGGGGTTTCATGAGATCTCTAAATCAGATTGGATCTGAATAATGATCTGCAGGTAAAAGGTAAAACTCAGGATTCATCACAGCTTGCAATCTCCCCTCTCCTAGGCTGTCTACATTGGCGCGATTTTGCGCAAAAGCGACTGCTTTTGCACAAAAACTTGCTGCCTGTCTGCACTGGCCGCGAGTTCTTGTGTAAGAACACTGACGTTCTAATGTATGAAATCAGTGCTTCTTGTGCAAGAACTATGACATTCTACTGTATAAAATCAGGGCTTCTTGCGCAAGAACTCTGATGCTCCCGCTCAGGAATAAGCCCTCTTGTGCAACTGTTCTTGTGCAAGAGGCCAGTGTAGACAGGCAACATGAATTGCTTGAGCAAGAAAGCCCTGTGGTTAAAATGGCCATCAGAGCTTTCTTGCGCAAGAGAGCCAGTGTAGACGCTCTCTTCTGGAAGAGTTTTTGCATAAGAACTCTTCCGCAAAAGAGCTCATGCATAAGATGATGCCAATGCAGACGTAGCCCTAGTGTCTAAGGTGCAGCATGGAGTTGGAAGAGGGGTTTGAATCTGATAAAATGAAACATTCCTTGTAGCTTGCTGCCCAGAAAACCCAGGCTGATGTGGGTCCCGCTGAGTCACAGCAAAGCCCCTCTCAGTCTGGCTCTCTGTACTAGACAGTACCTAGTTTCTGAATCAAAACTAGTACTTTATTTTCCAGTCCTTAAAACAAAAATCTGAACACACATATTCACTAAGAAATTGCAATTACTCCAAAACTGCAGATTCAAATTCACTAAAAGCTGTTGAATTGGAAATGGAGGGGAGAAAATGCAGTTTGGAGATCTCTAGAATGTTTCTTTCCAAAGCCTCGTGAGTGATTTCACCCAAACTAGCTGATAGCTGACTACAGTAGTTACATAGAATTTCAAGATTAAAAAAAAAAAGATTTTGCTCAGGATACCTGATCAACTTTTGGCAAGGCTGCTTATGTCTCCTATTGCTGATAGAAAGAAAACATTGATTTGCTTTCAAGCCTAACTACAGTATTATCCAAGTATTAAACCTAGGAGATTTTACTACTCACTGTTCTTAATTCACATCCCCAAACCCTGATGCAATCAATATCCTTTAATTGTTTTCTATTTGCTCAATATCTAATTCACCATCTAGATGAAAGACATTCTCCCCTCCTGTCCCACTACTCCTCCATGAAGCCCTTTCATCTTCTTTTCTACTGCTCTCATCTTCCGTGGCACAATAGTCTGACTCTTCCCAAGAGAGGTCGTCTTTGCTAACTCTACATTCTTCTGCGTTCGAGTGAGGCTCTGGCACTGGGGTGCAGGCTGGTGTCCTGCCTGGCATGACATCGAGGGAGGAAGGAGATATTGTCCATGACTTGGGGCTGTTGACACCAGGGCAGAACTGAGTCTGCTGAGCGCAGTCATCCACTGTGGTGCTAAGGCAGCTAAGGCTGTTAAAGGTCTGACGATTCTGCAAAGGGAACAGAAAACATACAGGTGAAACAATGGCATTCGGTTTATCCAAACAAGGTCCAAGACTCAGCTGAATTCAAAAGAGGGAAAAAATGTGCTACTTCACCTAGGCCATCTCCCTGCCAGAGCAAAAATGGTCCTTATTGTGCACTTACCAGTGTTTCCTCCACCCCACCATGGACATTTTATAACATAGATGTTTTCTAAGGATTCCCTCAGGGAGAAGATACCAGGTACTAAAGGGCTCTTTAGCCTAGCACAGAAAGGCATAACAAGAACCAGTGACTCTAAGATAAAGCCAGTCAAATGCATATTAAAAATAAGTCCTATATTTTTAAGAGAGAGAGATTAACATTGGATCACCACACAGGAAGTGGTGGATGCTCCGTCTCTTGTCTTTAAATCAAAACCAGATTCTTTGCTGGAAGTTGTGTTTTAGGCAAACTTATTGATAGGGCCCTACCAAATTCATGGTCCATTTTGGTCAATTTTTCTGTCATAGAATTTTAACAATCATAAATGAGATGTTTTCAGCTATTTAAAACTAAAATATCACAAGGTTGTAATTGTCCTGACACAAAACAGAGTTGTAGAAGAGTTGCAAGATTATTGTAGGGAAGGTTACAGTGTTGCTAGCCTTTCTTCTGTGCAGCTGTTCGTAGCAGTGCTGCCTTCAGAGTCAGGCAGCTGGAAAGAGGCAGCTGCTAGCCAGGAGCCCATCTCTGAAGGCAAAGCCAGTAGCAGTGCAGAAATAAGGATGCCATGGTATAGTATTCCCACCCTTTCCTCTACACTGCTGCTTGCAGAGCTGGGCACTCAGCCAGCAGCCACCACTCTCCAGACACCCAGCTCTGAAGGTAGCACTGAAGTAAGAGTGGCAATACTGTGACCACTCCCCTAAAATAACCTTTTGACCCCCTCCTCTGTAATTCCCTTTTGGGTCAGGACCCCAATTTGAGAAACACTGGCCTCCCCAATGAACTCTGTATAATATAGGGTAAAAAGTGCACAAAAGGCACTTTTTTCATGGGGGGAGACCATATTTCTCAGTCTGAGACACATTTTCCTGGCCATGAATTTGGTATGACCTATTTATTGAGCTGCATACAGGAGTAAGCAGATGAAATTCTAAGGCCTGTATTATCCATGAAGTCAGACTGGATGATCTGAAATTCCCTTCTGGCCTCAAAGATCTATTAGGGAATTCCAACAATATACACGATGGTTAATTGAAATGCTCATCTTTAGAGTCTTCAGAAGCCACTGCACAGAATGCTGCTCAGATCTCTCAAAAGATAATAATTATACTTAGTAAACCCTTTGTGAAAAGAAATATCCCATTAGCAAACCAATCCAGCAGACAGCCTGACTCTCTCAAGTCCTCAATGACATAATATGTTACTTTTCCTCTTAGCAGCATTAATTTAAGTGTTGGAAATCCAGACCTACAGTTACTTCCCTTTGCAGTTGTTCTTGCATTTCTTCCACCTTCTGTAACTGTTGGATGGAAGTGCACCCACTTAGTTTGGGATATGTTACACCCCACTCCAGCCTGGCTACTTTAGAACCTTGAGATCTGAGAACTCAATAAGCACAGATTCATTCAGTTGTAACTGAATGAATGTATGTCTTAAAAAGCCAGTTATTGCCATTTGATGGGACACTTTAGATAAGGTGATATAACTGAAATGTCAGGCACAAAAGGGTCACAGCTACTGACCAGGGAGACTTCTCTCTTTCAGAGGAACGCTCGCAGTATCACTCCTAAATAGGTGCTTCTCGATACAATTGATTAATGAGGGTCCAGATTCAGGAAAACCCTTAAGTTTGTAGTCTCTGCAAGAGCAGAGAAGAGGACAACTGCAACTGGCTCCATTTTATATGGACTAGGATCCTAATTATAAGCATGTGCTTAAGACTCATTGATGTCTATACGACATGTGCTTAAGTGCTTTCCTGAATGGTGCCTTTGTGATTATAGCACAGTGATGGGCCCTGTATCTCACTACTATGCCCATTTATTAAGGTGAACCCACAAAGATCTCTGTTATCGCTCATTTCACTATGAAACAGGCTTTGTAGTTGGTTACAGTCTCTTGAAACTCTTTATTTAGTTAATAACTTGTCAGATCAAAATGGTTTCAAAGCACTAGCCATGATGAGATGTTTGATGGCATTTAGAATTACTAACATTAAGCTATGGTATGTATGGCATGACAGTTCTCATCCCTGGAGATACTGCTAACTGCAAATGCACACACACTTGTAATGGCACTTTTTTTAAAGAAACTAAATTCTAATCACTTATCTTAATTAAAATAAATTGCTACTCTCCTGATGTTCACTATGTAAGCAAATCACATACTACACCAAGGAATATCCAGGGACCAGTGCAATTTAAAGTACAACATCCCTGATCTGAATTTCCCAAAGGTTTGTGAAAAGAGGCAAAAAGAACTGGAGAGAGAGAAACCAGAAAGACAGATGGACAGAAGCAATAAGAGATGACAGAAGTTGTAGAAAATCAAAGTCCTGTGTAAATTTAACATCAGCTGATGATCAGAAATGAAAGCAAACAAGTACTTTTTACATTAAGCAAAGACTTTAAGAAAGCTCAAAGATCACTTTAAGAAGTGAAAGTGACAAGGAGTCCTGTGGCACCTTATAGACTAACAGAGGGTATGTCTACACTACCCTCCTAATTCGAACTAGGAGGGTAATGTAGGCATACTGAACTTGCAAATGAAGCCTGGGATTTGAATTTCCCGGGCTTCATTTGCATGAAGCCAGCCAGC